TTCACTGTGGCTTTGTAGTAGAGCTTGAAGTTGGGAAGCAAGATCCCCCCTGCTTTATTCTTTCTTCTCAGGATTGCTTTGACTATTTGGGGCCTTTTGTGATTCCATATGAATTTTAGAATTAATTGTTCCAGTTCATTGAAGAATGCTGTTGGTATTTTGATAGGGATTGCAATGAATCTGTAGATTGCTTTAGGCAGGATGGCCATTTTGACAATATTAATTCTTTCTACCTAAGAGCATGGGATGAATTTCTATTTATTAGTGTCCTCTTTAATTTCTCTTTAGAGTGTCTTGTAGTTTTCAGGGTATAGGTCTTTCACTTTCTTGGTCAGGTTTATTCCTAGGTATTTTATTCTTTTTGATGCAATTGTGAATGGAATTTTTCCCTAATTTCTCTTTCTGCTAGTTCATTGATAGTGTGTAGGAATACAACAGATATCTGTGTAGTAATTTTGTATCCTGCAACTTTGCTGAATTCAGATATTAGTTCTAGTAGTTTTGGAGTGGATTCTTTAAGGTTTTTTATGTACAATGTCATGTCATATGCAAACAGTGACAGTTTGACTTCTTCCTTACCAATCTGGATGCCTTTTATTTCTTTGTGTTGTCTGATTGCCATGCCTAGGACCTCCACTACTATGTTGAATAAAAGTGGGGAGAGTGGGCATCCTTGTCTTGTTCCTGGTCTTAGAGGAAAAGCTTTTAGCTTCTTGCTGTTAAGTTGATGTTGACTGTGGGTTTGTCATATATGGCCTTTATTATGTTGAGGTACTTGACCTGTATACTCATTTTGTTGAGAGTTTTTATCATGAATGGATGTTGAATTTTGTTAAATGCTTTTTCAGCATCAAAGGTGATGATCATGTGGTTTTTGTCCTTCTTTTTGTTGATGTGGTGGATGATGTTGATGGATTTTCGAATGTTGTACCATCCTTGATTCCCTGAGATGAATTCCACTTGATCATGGTATATGATCATTTCAATGTATTTTTAATTTGGCTTGCTAATATTTTGTTGAGCATTTTTGCATCTATGTTCATCAGGGATATTGGTCTGTAGCTTTCTTTTTTTGTTGTGTCTTTGCCTGGTTTTGGTATTAGAGTGGTGCTGGCTTCATAGAATGAGTTTGGGAGTATTCCCTCCTTTTCTATTTTTTGGAAAACTTTAAGGAGAATGGGTATTTATTATGTCTTCTCTAAATGTCTGATAAAATTCAGCAGTGAATCCATCTGGTCCAGCAATTTTGTTCTTGGGTAGTTTTTTGATTACCAATTCAATTTCATTGCTGGTAATTGGTCTGTTTAGATTTTCTGTTTCTTCCTGGGTCAGTCTTGGTAGGTTGTATTTTTCTAGAAAGTTGTCCAATTCTTCTAGGTTATCGAGTTTGTTAGCATATAGTTTTTCATAGTATTCTCTAATAATTGTTAGTATTTCTGTGGTGTCTGTAGTTATTTTTCCTTTCTCATTTCTGAATCTGTTTATGTGTGTAAATTCTCTTTTTTCTTTCAAATCTGGAGAAAAGTTTATCTATTTTATTTTCTCAAAGAACGAATTCTTGGTTTTGTCAATCTTTCTATTGTTTTATTCTTCTCAATTTTATTTACTTTTTCTCTGATCTGTATTATGTTCCCTCTTCTGCTGACTTTGGCCTTCATTTGTTCTTCTTTTTCCAGTTTCAATAATTGTGAATGTAGGCTATTAATTTTGGATTGTTCTTCTTTCTTTAAATAGGCCTGAATTTCTATAGGCTGTCCGCTTAGAACTGCCTTCACTGCACCCACAGAAGTTGGGACATTGTGCTGTTGTTTTCTTTTGTCTCTATATATTGCTTAATCTCTGTTTCAGTTTGGTCATTGATCCATTGATTATTTAGGAGCATGTTGTTAAGCCTCCATGTGTTTGTGAGCCTTTTGGTTTTCTTTGTACAATTTATTTCTAGTTTTATACCTTTGTGATGTAAGAAGTTGGTTGGTAGAATTTCAATCTTTCTGAATTTACTGAGGCTCTTTTTGTCACCTAATGTGTGGTCTAGTCTGGAAAATATTCCATGTGCACTTGAGAAGAATGTGTATCCTGCTGTTTTTGGGTGTATAGTTCTGTAGATGTCTGTTAAGTCCATCTGTTCTAATGTGTTGTTCAGTGCCTCTGTGTCCTTACTTATTTTCTGTCTGGTTGATCTGTCCTTTGGAGCGAGTGGTGTCTTGAAGTCTCCTAAAATGAATGCATTGCATTCTATTTCCTCATTTAATTCTGCTATTATTTGTTTTACACATCTAGGTGCTCTTGTGTTCTGTGCATATATATTTATAATGGTTATATTGTCTTGTTGAACTGACCCCTTTTTCATTATGTAATGTCCTTCTTTGTCTCTTGTGACTTTGTTTTGAAATCTATTTTGTCTGATACAAATACTGCAACACATGCTTTTTCCTCCCTATTGTTTGCATGAAATATCTTTTGCCATCCCTTCTCTTTCAGTTTGTTTATGTATCTGGGTTTGAAGTGAGTCTCTTGTAGGCAGCACATATATGGGTCTTGCTTTTTTATCCATTCTATTACTCTGTGTCTTTTGATTGGTGCATTCAGTCCATTTACATTTAGGGTGATTATCAATAGATATGTACTTATTGCTATTGCAGGCTTTGGATTTGTAGTTACCAAAGGGTCAAGGGCAGCATCTTTACTATCTAACCATCTAATTTAACTCACTTATTATGCTGTTATAAACAGTTTGATGATTCTTTATTTCTCTCCCTTCTTTTTCTTCCTTCTTCACTCTTTATGTCTTAGTTGTTTTATTTTGTACTCTTTGTGTTTCCCTTGACTGCTTTTGGGGATAGCTGATTTTATTTTGCATTTAGTTAGTATTTGGTTGGTCGACTTTCTTTGCTGTGGTTTCATTTTCTCTGGTGACAGCTATTTAGCCTTAGGCATACCTCCATCTAGAGCAGTCCCTTTAAAATACATTGTAGAGATGGTTTGTGGGATGCAAATTCCCTCTACTTTTGCTTGTCTGGGAAATGTTTAATCCCTCCTTCAAATTTAAATGATAATCTTTCTGGATACAGTATTCTTGGTTCAAGGCCCCTCTGTTTCATTGCTTTGAATATATCATTGCATTCTCTTCTGGCCTATAACGTGTCTGTTGAGAAGTCTAATGATAGCCAGATGGGTTATCCTTTGTAAGTGATCTTTTTTCTCTCTCTGGCTGCTTTTAATACTCCTTCCTTCTCTTTGATCTTTGCCATTTTATTTATTATATGTCTTGGTGTTGTCCTCCTTGAGTCCCTTGTGTTCGGAGATGTGTGGGCTTCCATGGTCTGCGAGACTATTTCCTTCCCCAGATTGGGTACGTTTTCAGCAATTATTTCTTCAAAGACACTTTCTATCCCTTTTTCTCTCTCTTCTTCTGGTACCCCTCTAATGGGAATATTGTTCCATTTGGATTGGTCACACAGTTCTCTTCATATTCTTTCATTCCTAGAGATCCTTTTATCTCTCTCTGCCTCAGCTTCTCTGTATTCCTGTTCTCTGATTTCTATTCCATTAACAGTCTCCTCCACCTCATCCAGTCTGCTCTTATATCCTTCCATTGTTTTTTTCATTTCTGTTGTCTAACTTCCTGAATTCATCCCTTAGCTCTTGAATATTTCTCTGTAGCTCCATGAGCATGTTTATGACTTTTATTTTAAATTATTTTTCAAGAAGATTGGTGATTTCAATCTCACCAAGGCCTCTCTCTGGTGTTTGCCCTCAAACTTGCTATTTTAGACTGAACAAGGTTATTCTACCTTTTCATGATGATGGGAATGGTCACTGGCGAGTGGCGCTTGTGTCTGCTGGGAGAACAAAGCCACTTCCTGCTTGCCGTTTGCCTTGCCTGTCTCCTCTGTCTGTGCCAGTCAACCGTGCACAGAGAGCAGCCTCTGGGTTTGGGCCAGTTAGCCAAGCACAGGGGGAAGCCTCTGTGTTAAGCTGTGTGGTTCCTGTAGGTGGGGTTGCCCTCTGGCTGGTCTGCAGCAATGGCAGATCAGCTGGTTTGCTTGCAGTGCCAGCAGTGGGGGAAGGAATGCAGGCTGCTTACCATGGTAAGGGGCCTCAGAGCTGCATTGCCAACCAAGGGGTTAGGGAGCCTTAAATTCCTTAAAGTTCCCAGCTTGCTAGACTGTGTATGCCAGGATGATTTTGCCCTCCTGTTAAACCCTTGTCCCGTTAAGACTTTTAAAATGCCTGCTTTTCTGTTGCCCCAGGGCAGCCAGCTGTGGGGGCCTGTTCGTGGTCTAAGTATTGGATTTTGCTTTTTCATTCCTCTAATATCCAGAGCACCAAGCAATGTGTGTCTGTGCTCTCAGGGCAGACTACCAGGGCTGGTTATTCAGCAGTCCTGTGCTTCCACTCCCTCCCTGCTCTGATTCTGTTCCTCCTGCTGGTGAGCTGGGGGTAGAGGAAGTGCTTGGGTCCCGCCAGGTCACAGCTTTGTATCTTACCCTTTTCCATGAGATGTTTTGGGTTCTCACAGGTGTAGCCTGGCTCATGTACTGTATCTTCTGGTCACTCTTTTAGGAATAGTTGTATTTGCTGTATTTTCAAAATATATATGGATTTGGAAGGAGATTTCCACCCCCTAGTCATGCTGCTATCTTGAGAAGGATCTAGTATCATTTTTTCCCCCCAATTCAATTAACTACCCTTATAATCATCTCTATCTTCTTTGTCTCCCACATTTCTCATTGAGTCCTAGTAGTAAGGAAAATCCATGCCTTACCTTTACCAGTTTTTATTCTGTAATTCAGAATTGTCATACTATTAAAATTCTACATTGAATGTTATGATCCATAACTCAGAAGAGCACTAATGTTTGTTTTAATTTAGAAGCCCATAAGAAATTAGAAGTCCCCCACTGAAGCAGGGGAGAAGAGAACAGTGGGACTTTCTCAGAACTTACATATTCAGGATGACAACACATCTTTGAAAAATAACAGTCCAGGACAATTATGTTCAATTCTTTTCATTACTTTTATTAATTGTGGCACAGAGGAAAGAGGCAAATGTTTAAAGAAATTTGTGTTTTTTAGACAGGGTGCTGGTTTTATACCAACAGAAAAGAAAAACAGATGTATAAGCTCTAGGTCTTCATTTCTTTTTCTCTTATTCACGGGGCACGCTAAAAACAAAAGGATAAATATAAGTAGTGTTTATATAATGGCGTGTGTTTTCCAAATCTATTCAGATGAATGCCAAATCACTTAGATAGTCTTTCTGCAATTTCCACCATTGAAAGACATTCAAGTTGGTCCTACACTCTTAACAGTTGAGTTCCTCTGTGGGGCTGGGGGTGAGGACATGTCAGTAAGTACTGAAAAAAATCCTTTTACACTGATGTCAGCACACTTTTAAGGCTGTCATTTACTTAATATCTACCTTTTAGCCTAAATTAATTACAAACAAAAAGAGTGTCTTATCAAAGTTAAACTTCTGAGAAGAAAATCTTGCCACTTAGGTATAAAACAAATCACTTTTTGAAATGACCAAATTTGCAGAGGTAAGAAGTTGCTTCCTTGCTTGAATGCACAATATGTAAGTATTATTATAAGGGCAAAGAGTAAGTGAAAACCTAGACATGGAATAGACATCACAGTCAGCTTGGAAAATATGAAAATAATTTATGCTAAAACATTTCAATTTTAAAGTGGGCCGTTTTGTTATAAGAGGAAGTCTATTAAAGTTCAGTATGGTGACACATTGAAAACTTTGTAGCAAACTATTCTCTATAAAGTAGAAATTCACATAAGGTAGATCTAGCATATTTTCTAGTGAAATGAATTTTTTATTAAGCTGTTAAGTGTAACCATGCGAAATCATCACTATTCAACTGCTTCTTACCTACAAAAATGCACTTCTGTATGGTCCAGCTTAATTCCTAAAGTACTGCACTGCTATGACTCTGTTTACTGTGTCATATTAGTTCAAAATAGGACAGTGGTTAATTGTCAAGTTCTAGTTTGAATTGATTGTTGCTCTACCTCTTAGTAGCTGAGGTGCCTTCAGTAAGTTACTTCACCTATGCCTTGATCTGTGCCTCCATTTTCTCATCCACAAAATGGGAATAATAATGGTGCTCAACTCTGGAAACTACATTGAGAATTGGCTAATACATATAAAGAACTTAGAACAATGGTTAGCCCTGGTCTATATGGCTCTTGGCAGATGGTCAGTTGATCTTTGCTATATTAATAGAAAGTATAATAATTACTTGTTTTAAAAAATTCAAAGTATTGTTACCTGAGATGCTTGTGATTGTGTTGTTTTTAGGCCAAGGCAAGTTGACTTGAAGCAACAAATTTTGGACCCTGAATAAAAAGAAATGATAGATTTAGGAAAAACATTAGCATCACTATTAGGATAAAAAATGAACAATTATACAGCTGTTGGTGATTCTGAAGTAACTTTACATGCGTCACACCCTTTAATTACACTCTAGTACTAGAATCTCTACTAGGAAGCTTACTGACATCCGTTGCCTGAAAGAATAAAAACAGAACTTTCAAGTCACAGGGGGAAATACTAAATGATTCAGACATTTAAATATAAACTCTCTCAGATCCAACCAAATCACAAACCAGCATTTTTCAAGAAAATGCTTAAATAAATTAATCTCTTGGGTTAACGATGTCTCTACCAAAATATTTCAGGTCTTACAAATATTTCTATCTATATTTAAGCATCACAACTTTGGAAACAGAACAAGTATTACAAATATTTAATAATATGCTCCAGCACCACAGGAGTTTTAAAAAACAAAAGCCATTTAAGTCATTTTGTCAGACAATTGTACGTAGAATAATATTTCTGTCCTACATGTATGGAGTGTCCTTCAGGTGTATAATAAACCCCTAAGCTCTAGCCTGATTAAATTCAACAACCAAGGAAATGAAACATATTAAAATGAAGACAACTCCAGTACCTCCTCAGCAAAGCATGCCTCTTTTACAGCAGCTGCACAGCACTTGTCTATAAAAGCTACAAAACTCTCCATAACAGTTTTCAGTTGTTCATCTGTGGCTTTGGGTTTGTGTTTCAACAGCTCAACTAGTGCACTGCATTTGGATGAAAATGAAAAAAGAAACAAAAACAAAGTTTACTCACATAAAGAAAAAAGTAGTGTTGTTTAAGATTATAAGTCTTAGAGCCAGACAACTCTGGGCTTGAGGCCCAAGTTCACCTCTATAAATTTCAATATTCTCATTTACATAATGAGGAGAATAAAATCCATCTTCATAAGATGGGAGAAAGGATCAAATGAGATAATCAATGTAAATTGCTCAACATCTGTAGTATTCATAAATCTCAATAAGTCAATAAATCTTTTTTCAGTAAATCTCTGGAAAGGACTATGTCACAGCATTTATACATTATTCTGATTTTGGAAGTTATACTCTATTGAATTTTATAGTGAGTTAAGAGTTAAAAAGGATTCCTTAAATACTTAATTATTATCTTGGACTCTTTTAAAACTATACTTTATAATCTTAGAATCTTTATATTGGGTCTTTGAAATTTACCCCAAAGTGAATAGTAGAGAGACCATGCAAAATAACACTATCCAAACTCATGGTGGCTGGTGGTTCACTTTCATTGACATCTACACAACCAACAGAGCTCAACAAAGAGCAATATTACTCCTATGCCTATGGCCATGATCAGAATCAACCAGACATTATAGCAACTTATGCTGTTAAATTTCATGCTATTCTAAACCCTTGTGACAGTAACAAGGAGTCAAGCCTCAGAACTTGCATTTCGAGATCTTTCTCATCCAACAGCCATTCTCAAAAGTTACATCTTGGGGGTTTGCCCTGTCTATCTGTTGCCATAAAACAAACTTAAAATAACCATTCATGCCTAGAAATAAATTCCTTGTGATTTCTACTAACTAATTTGCTATCTGCACAATGCATCAGCTAATTGTTTAGCTTTTTCTACTAGACCTATCTTGATACTATTCTACTGCAGCCTTTATCCACAAGATATTCCAAATGATTTGAAGTCAAGATTATAATATAGTTTTGTTTTTTGCTAAGAAAAAAAAAAGCTGTCCATTTCATTCTTGCCAGTTTTATCAGATTAATAAGGCCAATAGTTAAATATTCTTTGCTAAGGAATATCACTACTTCCTAAAAATGAGTCATTTCAATTTATAATTCTATCAAGACTAAAAATGATGCAGTAATGAAATATTCCTTACGATTGTTTCTTGTATTGTTTCTCAGTCTCTGGAAGCGTGCATATATCTGCATGAAAGGTGAATGTTTCAGCACTGAATTCCTTGGGAACATATGTTTCATCAACTTCCAGAGCAGAAAAACATGGTCGTACGTTCACCAAGGACTCTGAGCAGCATTTGGTAACTCTCTCGCTCACTGGTGTCTTACTGTGCAACACGCACAACCGATTCAGGATCTGGGTTATCTAAAGAGCAGGCAGAATAGCAGAAACTCAAAAGAAGCGTAATTGTCTTCCATGAACTCTAACTTGCCAAGGGGCCAAAAGAAGTCTTATATTTTAACTAGAAAATTTGAATCAAAGGTTGATTTGAAGCAGCGCTTTGCTTACCTTGGGAACTACAAATAATAAAGGGCTTTTCAAAGTCTTTTCTCTTTTAACTATGTTCACATTTTAAGAATAATTCCCTTGAGAAAATAATTATTTAAATTTTAAAAATAAAATTAAATAATTGAGGTGAGTCTTGAGATATGTGTTGGAGTGGTGAAGAAATAGTCTTATACTGTGATATTAATAAAAGACCCCAAAGCAAAAAAAATTTTAACGCCAGAATGGAACATTGAAAATTCATGGAATTTTTTCAAAACAATTTATCATCTTTGCAATCTTATCTAAATTCCCATTCTGATGAGGGGGATATAGTAGGTGGCCAAGTCCTGGCTGCCACTACACACACACACACACACACACACACACACACACACACACACACACACACATTAGTTCAACCCCATTTCTAAAAGTTAGCTTTGTCAATATCTAAAGGCAAATATTCATCATTAACTTTCTACATTTTCAAAGACTCACATAGTCTTCAGCACAGGGCAATTTTTCTGATTCAGCAAGCTTACAGCACTTGGTGCCCACTCTTCCTAGGCTTCTTACGATCTCCACAAGAGTTGGAGTTGACACTTGGGGTACTTTCTTGGTGTAACGAACTAAGAGCCTATAACAAAATGGTCCATGTGTTTTCAGCCAGGCAAGAAACTTTTCTAACACAGTAGGTCAAGCAGAGAACACTTAGCCAAAATCAACTAAAATGATTTTCCATTCATGCAATTATCTCCATCTCCAGGTTACTGGAGTAGCATGCGGGAAGACCTTGTCCTGAGAAACTAGTTAAGCCTAACTTCGAATTCTGCCTGTGCTATATAACCTTAGGAAAGTGACTTACCTTATTATAATCAGTGACAATATATTTATTGATTGCTTCTTTTTCAATAAAACTTACTGAGAGCTTACTATATATTAGCACTGTACTAAATTTGAAAGTTGATGATGAATTTTCTCATCTATAAAATGGGAAGAAATATATCTGACTCAATAGAGATGGTGCAAGGATTCAATTAAAATAAATGAAGTATGCAATCAACTTGGCCTGGTATCTAGCATGTAAAAATCATTTACTAAGAATGTCAATCGCCACTGAAACTCAATGTATGACTGTAATCTATTCAAGGGAAAAGACTATGTTTTATTCATTGTTGTGATCCCTAATACCCATAGTTAGAAGAGTGTTAACATGTAAGATGAACAATAACTATCTACTGAATGATGTGTCCCTTCTTGTCTTTACCTCCATAAATGAGGCTCTTTTAAATTAGGATATTATCTGCCAACTTACATCTTACTTCTTCATATTTCAAGAGCTTACTTCTTGAGCTACTGTTATCCAAGTCCTACTATTTCTTGCTCTGAAAAGCACTGCTGTTTTTGTTTGCCCATAAACTATTCTATAACCTTCACGGGCATCCTCAGTTCCTATATTGCAACATTTGGTATTTTCTCTTCCAGCCTCAAGAGGCCAATTTTTTAAACAGCACTCAAATATAGGCTCTCCATCCCATCAACTATTTTATCTCTCCTTCTCCAGTCTTTCTGGATAGAACAGATTAGAAACATGTACTGTATTTCCAGGATTAAAAGTTCTGTGATAGGTGATCTACACATTAGGTTTTAAGTAATTACAAATTGATTAAGAAAAAAAGATTACCCAATAAACAAAAAATACTTACGCATTTTGGAAGCCATACTCTCCAAGTTTTTCAAAAAGTTCACAGTTTTTTTTTACTAAGTCATGAGGCTCATCTGCAAGAGGTTTAAGTTCATCCAACTGAAAGATAAAAGAATTGTGTCTATAGTATTCCAGCTGAGGCTGTTTTTCACCCCTCTAGGCAGAATGAGATTGTTCCTTCTTTCTGTCCATAGCCATCTAGGTACATCTTTGATGCTAAATATATTCTAATACATCCAAACTGTATATTTTATTTGGCAAGGCTATACAGTACAAAAGATTAAGAACATGCAAGCTCTGCAGGGTGACTGCTGGTGTTTGAGCCAGGCTGTCTGACTCATTTCCTAGTTGTGCAACATTATCACTTCCCATCTTCAAGCTTCAGAACCCTTACCTCTAAAATGGGGATGAAGATGGCACTCACTTTAGAGACTTGCTCTGTAAACCACCTGAGCTCATGAAATTAAAAGTGTTTGGCATATAGTAAAACCTTAATAAATGATGGCTATGATTTTAAGTATCATTAGCTTTAAGCCATCTTTCCAGTTGGATCCTGAGCCCTCTAAGACAAGAGATTGTCTGTCGGCCATCAGTAACAGTATGGTACTTGGCACATAGCAGGTTCTTGGTAAAGAATGACTTTCCTTTGATTCTGAAGTTTGGAAACCACTGTATTTGCCAGGAGAGCTAAATATCCTAAACATACTAAAATCCTATTTTAGCATAGCTAAATGTACTAAAAATCCTCCAGAACAGGTTTTCTCTCTTTATCTAATTTCTTGTAAAACCATTCCTAAATTTTCTCAAAAGGATTTGAAATATTTTAAATGAATAAATTTCACAATCTTCCTTAAGAAAATAATTCTTGATACTTGATAAATCTTTGAATCAGGTTAACTTTTGTTATCCCTAAGTTAAGTCTCTTTAATTAACATTTAAATTTACTTTATCTTATTTTTTTCTCGGTAATATGGAAAAAGAAAAAGCGTGGTCAAGATTCTGTAAAATTAGAGATTTACTCCCTTCAATTCTTTCTTTTCTAGACTCTTCTAGGCTTGATTAATCATTCTATTTAAGGCTATTTGTCCTATAATGCTTAAGAGCATAGAATTGAAACCTCTCAAAAAAAGATCTAAATTGCTTCATGTAAGACTTTACATGCTTGCATTATTTTTCTTTCTCATTGTTAGAATCATCAGTCAAAGAGTTACATTTTTTTTCCCTTCAAGAAGCCTACCACTGTGGAGTAGCATGTAGGAGGATCATCAGTGGCACAGCATTTCTCCAGCGTGGCTTCGTATTTCTTGGCAATTCTCAGTAGCAATGCGACGGAGTGATCAGGATGTCGCCTTGAGTACTCATACAAAAACCTAATCAGATTAAAATAATATAGATTTAATTGGGCAAATGAGCAAGAAAACAAATCACATAACTAACCTCAGTAACTCATATACCAAAGGTCTGAGTTTGACTCACCTCCATACAGTTAAGCTTAGCAGCTAAGGGCTGGGGTTCAGAGTCAAAGCTACCTGCTTTCGCGTCCTGGCTCTGCCACTTACTCTGTCACCTTTGACAGGACATTAAAACTGTCGAAGCCTTAGTTTCCTCTTCTACAGAATGAGGATAATAATTGTATCTATCTCACCTATTATTATTATATATATATATTTCATTTGACTCTGATTATACCTCCAAAAGATTCTGATAGATAAATACATATTCTTAAGTTTTTCTTTCTCCTTTCTGTACAAGTGCAATCTTGAAGGGTACATAATTTTATGAACTGTTATTTAGTGCAAATTACACTACTATAATCCAACAATAAGAATGCAAAGTATACCACGACACTTACTGTATATAACCATTTATTTTGTCATTTAATTACATGCTGCTTTGTCATGCTACTGGACTTATGGTCTTTTCAACTAAGTATAAAGCACTAGTAGCAGACTCCATACTTCTTGATATACTTCTTTGTTGCCCTCAGATTGATAGATAGATAGATGATAGATAATACAGAGTTGGAAGTATAAAGATGTATTACACATATACACACATATATATTTTGGTAAGTTCAAGAAATACTCCTTGAGTGAATAGTATGTATATAATTTATGTACACATAAAATATGTCAAGAGGTATTTCCAAAATATCCCTATTGAGTTTTTGCCATGAGCATGTATTACTTTATGAAATAAATTAAACTAATTAATTTTTTCCAAAAAGGTTAAAGGCTGGGAGACGGAAGGATAAAGAAGCATTGTAGACACCATGGAAAGTGTAGGAACTCCAAAGAAAAGCCTAGTTTATCTTTCCAAATCCTGCCACCATATAAAAGCTATGAGAGGATTAATCTTTATCCACTTACGTGCCCAGAAACACATCTTTTGCCTCGTGATAGTTTTTGCAAACTTCCTTATCTTCAGCAAAGTCAGCAGCTAATGGGGACAGGCCATCAGGCAACTCATCTTTATCCACCTCAGCGATGCAGTGGGACTTTTCCAACAAAGGTTTAGTACAGCACTCCTTCAGTTTAGTGGAGATTGAATCTTGATTTTCACATATGTACTTGCTAAGATCTGCCTATAAGCAAGTTGATAGAAATCGTTCAAGATAAACTGACATTGCTATATTTTCTCCCCAGAGTTTTAACATGTTGGCAGAACAGTTTGTTGTATTTGAAGTCCATAAACATATCAATGTACCTTCTATGAACATTTTCAGCCTGTGCTCCTAAATGGAGCACAGATACTGCTACTAAAGTATTTCTACTTGATTAAAAAAGACTAGTCTATAACAGGGGCCCCTATCAGTTATTTATAAACTTTATAGTTCTACTGTTAAGGTATTTGTATTTTAAATTAAAATTGAGTACTGTTTTCACAAACATTCCCACCAAATTAAGTGCAGGTATTTTGAAACCAAATCATTAAATAAAATGTGACAGACTTTTGAAAAATTAGTCAAGATCATAGAAGACAACAGTCCACTGTCAGCTATCACCAATGATAGTAAACAAACTAGTTCTACTAACTGAAGCATGTTAAGTTCCCAAAGAGCATACTGAAGATTCTTTACCCTGTCATCTGCACATTCAAGCAGGTCACCATGACAGCATTCTGTGTGGATTTTAGTAAGATCTGTCACTATCTTGGAAATTTCTGCAAAGTCAGCCTTGGGAAATTTCTGGCTCAGAAGAGCTACTGACCTAAAAAGAAAAATTCCCCCGTCAAAATACTAACATGCAATGTTTATGTGAAAGCACTAGGAAAATATTACTTATAACAAGAAAATTCAAGACAAAATAATACATGGAAATAATCTGTAAAATTCAATAGTTCTTATTTTAATGCTAGTTCTGAACCAAATTGTTACCTTAGGGCAAAATGTTTCCTTGGGACAGAATTATCCTTTGTAAGAGTGTGTGTGGTGGTTAGAAGTCCTGTGATTCATAAAAGCAGAAATCAAAGAGGGATTTTAAAGGAGGCAGCACAGTGAGAGGCATCAGGTTTGGAGCCATGCTCTGACTTGCAGATCTGGCTTTATTGCTGATCAGCGGTGTGACTCTAGGCAAGTTACTTAGCCTTTCTTTCTAAGCTTCAGCCTCTTCAGAGTTATAATAGCATGGTAAATCAAAGGATTATTGTGATGATTAAATTAGAAAATGCACATGAAAGCATTCTATAAAGTGGGGCATTTCTAAATCTGATCAAATATGGGACTTGTCCCCAAATAATCACAGCCTGTTTAATTGTGTACCATTTCACATTGGAGGTATTTTGTTTATTGATTTGGTTGATTTTGGTGGTGTAGATGGAAGGGTCACAGGCAAAGAGTTCAAATGACGGTTTCTAGAAAGTTTGTAAAGTGTCTATCGTTTTTATTTTATCTCCTATTGGTGTTGATTCACTGTTGACTAACAAGTGAGGGGTTGGGTGAGGGGAAGTGAGGGAGGGGGAGACTTCTTGGCTCAGATATCGAAAGATGATCCTAGAACCAGCAAGGTAATATAAAAACAGAGGCCTAGGCAAAAACAAGAGATTAACAACAGAGCTGGAGCTATGAGAATGAAAAGCAACCTTGATGGCTGGATTTATTTATCAGAATCTAAAAGGACAACAGACATTCTCAGATAATTGACATGGAGGCTGGGGGGTAGAGGGAGGAGATAAAATTAAAGACCCTGACTACAGCTCTATAAAAATAGTGAACCATTGGAACAAGATCCCCCCTAGTCTTTATAAACAAATGGGAGTTTAAATACCTGCTCTAAAAGAAGAAAAAAGGTACCTTCTAAATTCTTTGACTGTTTCTTAGAAAAAATAAGATAAAATAAAATGCTGAATTGGCATTATTACTCATTACTCTAATTTTTGCCCCTGTTAAAGTTTTACCTTTTGGCCTAGAAAAAAATATGTGTGAAATGCCATCTAAAGGTACAATTCTGTCACTGGAACTATCATCATTTAAGCCATTAAAAGATGCAAACTAAGTTTAAAATACCATGCTTTCAAAGCTCGTTCTCCAAATTTTTCGATACTGGCACACTTGAGTCTCTGTCTGACAGATGAATCCAGTACTTTTTCCCTCAAAACATCAATCTGCAAAAAGGCATAATTTTGGAAAAATTAAAAAGAAAAAGTCTACCCAAAATACTCCTTCATAATTCAGACAAGACTATGCCAAATTAAATTTTAAAGAGATAATTTACCCTAAATTCCCAAGTACTCACTATTGGCAAATAATTATTTTGCTATGTTGGAAGGGGAAAAATTAGTCTGGTCATAGCGGAAGCCTCTAGGTAGTGAAGAACCAGCAGGAAGGCAATGCCAGGAGGAAGGGAACTGAGAGGAAAAGTGGAAGAACAGAGTACACTAATACCCCAGGGAATATAACTTTCTTAATTTCTTAATTTTTCATATAACTCATTTCAATCCCTCCTCCACTAATTCTCACATCAATAAACTTCCTAGGAAAGAGAACACAGTTCATACTAAATATGAAAGAATGAACCCAGGGGTCTAGATGCAGTTAAATTCTTAGCTTTGAATTTCCTCCCCAATAAAAAGGGCTCGTAAAAACATAAAAACTGTGACCCTCTGCTGTGCGGTTTTACAAAGGAGTTTCTGAATTGCACTCTAGTGACCAGCACCATAAAAAGAGGTGATTCCCTCTGTCAGGTCCACTTTGGCATATCTGAGAAGGCATAAGGTCAGAGGACTTCAGGGAGGGTCAAAGAGCTTTAGGGGGAAGAATGAGGAAGGCTTTTATGACTTAGAAAAGAATTTTGTATCAGGGACTTAGGTTCCCTAATTCTAGCCAAAGGAATCCTAAACCTTGGCTCGCCCAGAAGCTGGTCCCCTGCCCTTCTGGAGAATACCTTTGGTGTCAGGCAGGCGGCTTTGTCAGCAGCTTGGCAGCATTCTGTAAAGACTTGTTTATATTCCTGAGCATAGTAAAGGAGTTCTGGCGCATAAAAGTAAGGATGTCTTCTGGCAATTTCATATAAGTATCTAGATATTTAAAAACAAAACCAGCCAGTCATTTTTCTATTCCAGACAAGTATTTCAGGAACAATTGCAGTCAACATTCTCCCCAGGGCCTCCAAAACCCAAAGACATCTTATACACCTGTTAGGCTCAGTTTCCACATGATTACTTTGCTTGGTCATTCTTTAAGTCAGTGAAAAGTTTAAGCATATATGTAAATTATATATGCTCCGTACCACATGCATATGTATAAAATAGTTAAATTTTGGTGATACAATATTGACTACAATGAAATCAGTTTTGAGAACTAAATGAATTGTTTTCCTACTGATCACATACTGTTTCAATGGACTCCAAAAGATCTTTGAGCAAACTTTTTATCCTGCAGAATTTTGTAGCAGCAAATATTTATCCTTTGAAAATTGTCATTAGAACAAGAGCTTCCAGGTCTTAAGGCTGCAAATACTTTTTGTTATAGTAATTGTTATAATGATTTGACCTGTTTTATTCTTTTTAACTTCGAAGCATAAAAATCTGGGTACTTACTTTTCCAGAAATTTTTCTTCACCTTCATGAAAGGCAGCACACATAACATCTGGCTCTGGTGTCACCAGTGGAGGTAAGTCTGGGTTATCATCTTTGTGTTCCTGGAAGCATTTGTTTCTCTCAGGCTCTTGTTTTTTACAGCAGTCAGCCATCTCACCATAGGTTTCACGAAGAGTTGCCACTCCGCACAATTTTTCTCCAAAAAGAGTATGCTAAGTGGAAGAGAGAAGGCTTCACATTACTGGGCAATTTTATGTTCTTTATACCCAATTATATTTTCTTTTACTTTCTTTATGTAAAAAATGTAATATACTAGTAAACCATGGTTAGCAAATCATACAAAGAATATTTTAGTAGAGACCATTCCAAAAGTGAGGAGTAACACAATTTATTATATATTGAGTTATTGCATTAAATATAGACCTTTTTATTCTGGAAATATTTGCCTCAAAGAATAGTCCATTAAATGAATTGTTTCCATTGCTGTTGACTTTTATTATCAAAGTAATTGTAACTTTAAAGAAAATACACTGCCCAAGACAGAATTTATTAATTTTCAAAAAAACGCATTCCAAAAGATTCATATTTAGAGCCATAATATTGTTTGGAATTAAAATACTTATTCTGCCTTGAGGGAGAAATACATATAGAGATAAATAAGAGAAGGAAAGGGTTCAATGATAAAAAAAAAGTGGCCTTGACCTCAGAAAGGTATATATATATATATATATATATATAGATTGAGTGGTGAGAGAATCATGAACTCCTTCTTGTATTGAAGACCTATCTGGAAATACCAAAAGCTCAAAGTTCTCAGAATGACAGAATGCCCTGATGTTTTATTGTCTTTAAAAATATGAATATCCCTAAAATGAGGAATATATAGTTGCACTATTATTTACCATAACAGAATTAGCACAGAAATCAGTTGAGTGTTTTCTGGTGATAAAAACCATGGTATCACTATTATCCCCTAAGAAAAAAAATCAAACTTCAAATTTTATAAAGAGTCTTTTACAAATGAGAGAGTTCCCATTTGAATACACTATGACTGTTTTGTGTGGTCTCAATAAAGAAAGGCTTTTAAAACTGTAGGTCTAGCTGAAATGTCTCTAACAGAAGAAACAGTGGCTTTCTCATTTTTTAGTGTTCTTTACAAATATGATCATTTGGTAATAATTGAGAAAACTAAAATGGGATTCTTTTCCTTTGAAATGCTCAGGATTATTTAATAGAAGAAGAAATAGTATTCAAAATTAGAATGGACTTACAAGTGACTTATCACAGTTTTCAGCAGACTCATCAGCAACACAGGTTTTTGCAAACTCAGCTAGTTCATTCGCTAATTTTACATGCTCTTCAAACGGGCACTTCTGGAGATACTGAGAAAAGGCAATCAATGCCCTGAAACAAAGCACGTAGAAAAATGTAGCATAATAAAATTTTAATATAAAGTACATTGCTATGCTAGAGAACAATGTATCTGTATACGTTCTTTATTTTATACACCTTACTGTTGTACAGGAAGCCCATTCACATCAGCTATTATCTGAGGCCTAACCAGGCATATGTGGCTTTCTAAGCAAAGAGGATACATATTTTTACCATGTGTAAATATATATGGGCATGTCAGTAGATAAATACACATAAAGCAAGCAAGCAAACAAAATGTATTCTAGATAGATCTCACTGTTAAGACTAGGGGTCTTAGATAGGTCCTTTGACTAAACAAAAAACAAAACCCACACCCTCATTTGATCAGGTAGTAGGATGAGACTGACCTTTTAAAAATAAAGTATTATCTCATTTTTCACTACATTAAAAAATGCTAAAATGCTAGAAAGAAACTACAGATCTATTTGCTAAGTAATAGAATTTAGTAAGCAAGCTGAAAAGGAACCATCTATTACAGTTTTTCCCTCAGTGCAGGTTATAAAGAGTTCCAGTGCTCACTGTCTAATTCAATAGCCACTAGCCATATGTGATTATATAGATTTAAATAAATTAACATTAAATACAATTTAAATTTTTTATCCTCAGTTGCACTTGCCACATTGAAACTGCTTAATAGCCATATGTGGCCAGTGGTTAATGTAGTAGAAAGCACTGGCACAGAATATTTCCCTCAGTTCAGATAATTCTCATCGACAGCACTGTTCTACAGTCTGGACTCTGATGATATGAGAATGGAAGAACTTCAGAATTACAACCAATGTTACTAGAAACATTAAATTTTAACTTACAGGCCTTTGAGAGAATCTCCTCCCAAATCTTTATATCGATGAGCAATCTCACTCTTGTCTGGAGGAAAGAAAAAAAAGGAGATTTGTTTAAATTCTAAAGAAAACAACTAGTTATGATGTTGTTTTATGCTTGTCTCCATTTGACTTAAGTATTCATTTGCTCGAAAATATTGGGGTCTGATTCTCTACAGAAAATCTTAGGATTATGATTAACTATTTCATCTGCATTTAAATAGAAGAGTTGTTCAATCACCAGTGATATTGTTTGAAAAACATTAAATCATTCAATATGTATGGCTTTATATTCAAACTTGGACAAGCTCCAACACTCTTGTAGTGTCTATTTACAGCTACTGAAAGGAGAGTCTGAAATGAAAATATAAATACAAATTCTGTTTATAAGATTAACCACACAGGTTTTGTCTTATTTAGTTTTATAAATCAAAGTGCAGTGGACTGGCCTTTGAAAATTTGGAGTTATGAATCTATCATAACTATAACTTCAACTATATTCTATGAAGTTTAAGTCACTGTAAGTTCCTTCATGTGTAAAAGTAAATTACAGTTACTAAACAAGGCTCACCATTTTTTCCACCGAGAATGCTAGAAATATATTAATGAGATAATTTCTGTAAGGGTTCAGAAATAAAAGTATCATCACAGTTCAAACAAGTGCTGAAGGAAAATCTACATCTTAAAAGATTCAATGCTTATTAAGACTTTCTTTTACTAACAAAATAAAATAAAAGTCAAACAATAGAAAAATAGAATTCTTACGTGCTTCTCGTCGAAACACACCCTTCGAATAAGCAGAGCTGAAGAGAAAGAGAAGGGAAATAAAGGTAACCCACTTCATTGTGCCGAAGGCTTGAGGGGTTGAAAGAAGAGAAAAGGTAGGACGAATAGAGAGAAATTAGCACTAATATACTTCTTTAACCAATAATTGTAGATTATTAACTAGACTCATCTTTGTATTTCATTGGCTCCCAACTGATTACAAAATTCACATTATCCTTGCCAAAAAATTGTTTGACAATCCCTTGCGTATGTTTGCCACCTGGAACTGTTTTTTCCACAAGACCTTGTCAATTCATTAACGTTATGTAAAACATCTTATCAAATTTTACATAAGAGTTCAAATGATTTGTACCTATTATTCATTGCCATATTTATCTCTGGTTTATCATTTGAACATTTTAGTTTTCACTATTTGAAGAAATTTAATCAAATCAATGACTAGCTTTGAAATAAGATATACTCAAAGAGCTAAGCTTTGAACTGTAACTATTACTAACTGAAGTGTAACTATTACTAACTCCAAGCATGCTTTTCTTGATTAGTAATGAAAAATTTACACACACACACACACACACACATGAGGGCTTCCATGTCTTTATTCTTCTGAAACTGAAAAAGCTGATGTTACCTCAGATGCAAACTAAAAGCCATCACAGCAATAACAACTAAAATAGATGTTCAGAAGTTCTACATTTCCATCTCAGCTCCGGCCCACATAAGATTCAGGCCATATAGTACAATACTTAGATGTAATATGGGTATCTCTCATGGAATTTTAAGTTAAGGAGACATGGGGGAACAAAAAAGATGCAATGACAGTAATGATCTTTGTCATCATAATATACAAAGGACACAGATTGAGCCCTGATTACACCTCTAGAGGTTATAAGAATCCTAGACCTTCTTTACCAGGTGTCATATTCTTTCCATCCCTGTTTCATACTTTTTTCTTTCAGGTCACAGATAAATAGAAATAAAAAGAAAAGTCACATGTAAAGTGTTATTTTTAATTTCAAAATAAATTTAACATTATGTATAAAAACAAAGCAAAGAAAAGAAAATTTTTCAAAAATGTTTTCCAAATTTCTTTCCCTACATTCCCCTTGCAAGATTCTGTTCTCTAATCTCTGAAGGGCTTTCTCCCTCTGCCCTTCTGCTCTCAAGATGAACTTCATATTTCAACCAGTAGGAAAGCTGATCTTTTTCCAGTAGTACAGAACAATAACTAGTATCAAGCCAATCATTTAATTTAATTAAATAACCTAGTCAATCAAAACTGTCAGTTTACTTGCCCCCTGGCACATGTAGTCACAGAGACTAACAAATTCTCTAGAGAAGGATTATTTTCCTATTCAGTCATGACAAAAGAAATATACTTCCTATGATCTTATTTTATTTTTTTCATGTTCAGATATGGGTACTAATTAAATAATCAAGTACAGAGAGGAGATAATAGATAGATGCTTAATTGATTGGTACATAGGTAGATAGATAGATAGATAGATAGATAGATAGATAGATAGATAGATAGATAGACAGACAGATGATAAATAGATATTTTTAAAAGTGGTTTAAGGAAGTCCTGAATAATGGAGTCATACTTGTCTTTCAGGTCACTGATGAACAGAAATAAAAGAATGTCTGCCTATGGAATTATTTCCATTTGATAAAACTAATTTTTAAGCCAAAAATCTGTATTAGAAAAGAAAAAAGGAAACCACAATGAATCAAAATTTCTCTCCATTATTACAGAGAAAATTGACAAAAAAAAAAGCACATCAAGAATGATGATATTTAACAGCAAACACTGTCCTGATTTCACCAAGACCACTGTTTATTTAAGAACACCAGCATTCTTGGTTGTCAGGGTACACAATCCAGAAAACAATGTTTCATACTTATTTTAAACAGCACCACCTACTCTTTAGTTCAGCTCAAAATTTATTCACCACTAAGTGCCAAGCATTTGTTAGGCTATGAGGATATAAAAGGTTAAAAAGACACATTCCCTGACTTCAAGGACCCACAGTCAAATAGGGGAGACAGACACATAGAGAGATAATTATAATGCAACATTGTAAGTTACTGTGCATATGGAATACAAGGTACTCCTGTGGAGATAAAGAAGTAGCAAGGAGCTCTCTAAATCCAGGGCTACCTCATGCATAAATAATGTGTTTGCAGCTATGCAACTCAACAGACTGTAAAGCTAATTCGCATTCTCTGGTTCATTTTTTCCTTGTGAAGTAACTTTGCCTGAAGAAATGGAATGAGTAAATAGAGGGCTGAGGGAGGTAGGAAGAGTATGAAGATACGTAATTTCTAAATGTTCTAAATGCCAAAATTCAGAGAGCAAAAGAGTTAAGCCTCAATTTTGAAGATGATGGAATTTCCTGGAGGGCTAAGAAAAAATGGCAGGGTGACAGGAAGAAAAGTGGAATTGGCAATTATCTGTATTTCCAGGCAAAGCTAAGGATGAGATAGGTCATTTTAATATTATAAGCACTGAACAAAGATACTGTCCTTGCAGAAAGCTATGAAACTTCCATGGAGAAATGGTTTATCTAAGATGACTGACAAAGTCTGTAGACCACTCAAATATATTAATGATGAAACAGTGTTCCTGATTCAAGGCATATTTGTTTAATAATATCATGTGCCTACAAGTCTGAGAGGACTTTTCTGGAGACATGACATTTAAACAGAATTTTTTAAATGGGTATGAAGAATGAGGGAAGAATAGCTTTCCAGGCACAGGGGACAGCATGTGCAAATGCTTGAGACAAGAAAGAGCATGAAAGAAAGTGAGAAAGGCTAGGAGAGTTGGGGGAAAGCACAGTATGACATGAAATAATGAAAGTAGGTGGCCTTGTATGTCATCTTAGCTACAGTAAACGTTTTTAGTTTTTATTCTGAAAGCAGTGAGAAGTTTAATGATTGTATTAGTTCGAGGATATAATCTGATTTATTATAATCAGATTACTGATTTAGAAACATTACTCTGGCTGTTCTGTGGGAAAGATACTAGAAAGGGTAAGAGTATATGTAGGAAGACTAGTCAGGGGACTAATGCAATATTCCTAGCAATCGATGGTAAGATCTTGAGTTATATCAGTGGTACAGAAGCAAAGAGAAGTGGACAGATTAAAGAGACATGTAGGTATGATACAGTATTGGACCCAAGCAAGAGATTCCCTTCTCTAAAACCATGTTTTTGAAGGCCTCCTCTGACCTCTACCAGCCACAAAGGGCAAAGAGTCTATAAAACCAAGTATGCCCACCAAAACCTTTCTTCCTCCTTTTTTACACCATGATTCAGGCACTCAGGCCCTCAACTCCCTGTCCAAACAGCCCTGAACCTCTTTTAGTGCCCGAGACAGCCTCTTATATGAGTACATCTTCCCGTGAGGAGACCAGTCACTGATATATCTACTTTCAGATCTGAGAAGTAGCCATGAGGCAGCTGTTTGGAAGAGATGTGAACAGAACTGGGACATAAGGGGTAGAGTTTCCACATGCACATAAATAAGACCTCTTCACAGTACAGGATAAGCCAGAGGTATGCAGAAAGAAGAGGTGGGCAAGGGATGAGGGCTGGTTCTCTCCAGCATAAAACTTAAAGGAAACAAAATGAGCAGGACTTGATGGACTGGAAATATTGTGAGAGATGTTGTGAGAGAAACAGAAATATCATGAGGATTTCTAGCTTTCTGCCTCATGCAATTCAATGATTGCCACTGGTCTAAAGAGCTTTTGGACAAGACCAGAGCTTTGTAGGAAGACCTTTTGTATGATTCAGCTATCTTTGAGACCTGAGAAGAACCTAAGAAGAGATGTCAAGTAGAGAGTTATATAGTCTAGAGGTCAGAGGCAAGGCTTAAGCTTGTGATGTTGTTTGTGAGTCATGAAGCAGTACAGGAATGAATCAGTCTGGGGAGAGAGTAACATGGGACAAGGAGAGGCCCATTATGGAGGGTTGAAAAAGATCAAAGATCAAAGAACAGGTGGCCTAAGAAGAGGAAAATTTCAAGGCAGTGTTACACCAGGGAAAGAAAAGGAAGAGAATGTTTAAGATAGAATAGGTGAAGATTTACAAATATTACTGACAAGGACGATAGACAAGAATTGAAAAAAAACATCTGTTGCATGGGAATTACTTAAGCACTTAATAGATCTGTTTTTGGTAGAATGATGAGACCAAAAACCAGATTGGAGTGATTAGAGAAGTAAATAGGAAGTGATGGATAAATATCTGCTTTATAGATAACTCTTTCAAGAAATTTGGATGTGAGGGAGTGAGTGCTGAAATGGGTTGAGGGTCAATGAAAATGTTTACTTATGAGCATTTAAAAGTCAATGAGAAGAGTTCCACTGATTGTGGCTTTTATCTTCTCTGCAAAGGAGGGACTGCTAAGAGTGAAGGGCTTATCTGAGGGAAATGGAAAAAGTTGAAGTAGTCATAAAAATTCAGGGTGTGCACTGAGCAGAGAGACTTAGTGTCCTGGGCTAAGTTTAGAAATAAGAAAAGTCTACCTGTGACACTCAACTCCTTCTCCAACCCGCTACTGGGACTTATGATAATCTCCCCCTCCAACCTCACTCCCCTTCCATTTCTCTGCACCACTCAGACACATGTCTGAGACTCACCCTAGCACTACTCTTCTTTTAGGCATCCCAAGCCCCCACTGGTGCTCTGCCTCTAAGTTCTATGTGTCTCCTCTCTAATGGACACTCCATGAGAAAAAGATCATTTCTTGTTGGCAAATTCAGGTGGGTGTTAAAGATCAGCAATCTTAGTAAACTGACTCCACAAAATCTAAGAGTGTCTTCTTATCTCAGCCTTATGCTCTCAGTCTCCTCCACACTATTCCTCCACAAAATCCACCTAACCTTCATGGAAATAGAGCCATTTTAGAAGGGACTGCTGTCCTGTCAGTGAACTCCTAGCAGAAGGGATCTCAGGCAGCTAACACAGTGAAGAAAAGAACCCAAGGCTCTTCAAGAACCGATGGTTCTTCAGACCTCACCACTTAGGCCCTATCCCAGTAGGACAGAAGTTAACTGACCCTTACAAATAGCCATTAGGGCTTGAACTTTGGAGCTTGAACTTTGGAATCTCTATTTGGTTATTCAGA